GTCAACGCTCTCTGGTTTCATTTAAAAGAGTCGATCATCAGATATTGTCCAAGATTAACCTTCAGGGTGGATATAGCTCGCTAGCAGCCTCGCTCCGAGGACCTATCCACGTCATCATTTACCCAGAATGCTTTGTGTGTAAATAAAATGGCTCAGTCCATATAAAAATATATATTAAAAAAATTTAGTTTAAAAATTATAAAAACTAAACAGCCTACAGTATTTTTACAGTCTTTATTTTACATTTAAAATAAATGTTTATCAAATAAAGTCTAATGTTACAACTAATCCTGGATCCCTTTAAATTTCTTATTATGAACAAAAAAACGTGGTAGAAGACTGAACCCACCTGTCGTCGGATCTCCTCTTTGATGTTCTCCTGCGTCTCGGGCAGAGCRGGCATCGTGGCCATGTTGGACCAGCGCAGCGGCCGCACCACCGGCTTCAGGACGACGTCTCCGAACAGCTCCTTCACGTGGGTGAAGAAGATGTAGAGGACACGATTCCCGATCTGAAACCAAGATGAAAATGAGTCTAAACCCTTGAAGTAGGCCTGTGAAAACCAGCTGAAATGTTTCTGGGTCGGATTCTTCATGGAATAAATTCCTGCAAATTTATTTTCCCTCATTATCCTCATGATCCTGGATTCCTCTCATTAACACTTTTTTAAATGTGTTGTGGATATTGATGTGTTTGGCTCAGAATAAGTGGGACAGCCACAGAGAGGCCTCCTGTGGTGATAAATTAGCTTCACAGAACTGGGCCAGGGTTTCAAAGATGAACTTGGCAGGTTTGTTGCTCAGGGAAGGTCTGAGCTTGAATCAAAGCTACGTTTCTGTTTGAAGTTGTGCTGTCGGTGCTCTCGGAGCGTCTGACCTGTATGGTGGGGTTGAGGACGATGGAGATGTTCTGAATGTTCATCTTGGTGTCCGCCTCCCTGGCGATGACGTGGTCCATGTGCGTGACGAGCCAGGAGAGGAGGAGCCGGCTCTGCGGTGCCGCCTCCGCCAGCAGCTTGTGGAACTCGGACAGTTTCTCGGCCTCCGTCTGCCGGCCGCAGGCGTCCTCCAGCCGCTGGGCCAGGTCTCGGCCCAGCAGGTTCTCCGGCAGCTCGCGGAGGTACTGCTTCAGCAGGCTGGCCACCGTGTGGGGGTCGTACTCCTCCAGGCAGGGGCACTCCTCCCGGTCGTAGGCTGCCTTCAGCTCGTCCACCTTCGACTTCATGCCTGACAGAAAGAGACGTTACTGCGAGTGGGCGGAGCCAAGTTTTACCGTTTATTCTGAAGGAGAGCTGAGGATACCTGAGACCCGGTAGATGCCCTCGCACTTCATGCCGTAATTCTCGATGTAGTCCACGCACTCCCTGAAGACACTGGGCAGCTGGATGCTGTCGTACAGAGCTGTCCTCTTCACAGCTTCAGCCAGAGGAGCTCCAAAGATGGGCCGGATGGTGGGGGTCTCCACCGGGACGGGCTCTGCCTCCGTAGCAGGCTTCTTCTTCTTCTTCTTTTCCTTCCACTGTTTGACCACGTCTGCAGCCGTCAGGTCTTTGGACTTCTTGTCCTTGGCCTTGTCCTCTTTGGGGCCCTTCTCCTTCACCTTAAAGTCCTTCTCTTTCTTCTTGGAGAAGCTCGGCTTCTTGAACACGTGGATTCCCTTGGAGCGCTTCATCTTGGACGGGCTCTCCGCTTCATCTGCTGAACTGTCCTCCTGGAAGGCGGCGTATCCCTCGGCTGTGAATGGTTTYAAACAAAAAGGTTAAAGGCTCCTGCGTTCTTATCTTCCTCTTACAACAGAACGACGATAGCAGCGAAATACAAACAGGAAGAGAGATGTGTGATAGAGAAAGGAAACCAGGGGAGGGAGAGAACGGGGACTCGGAAAAGAGGTCAGCCCCTGATTTAGCACAGCTCCCACAGCACCTTACAGTCACCACGTTCCTCAGAGCGAACGAGACACGAGGGGCCTCTGCCCTTGTTATCATATCGGCCGGTTTATCAGACCTTCAACGAGATCTGTGGGAGTCGCCCTGAAAACTGTCCGTCTCTTCCTCTGTTTCCCAGCAGGAGCTACACGCAGGGATGGAAAACTGATACAAAGTGGAGAGCGGAGACAAACGCCCACGCTACGAGAGAAAACAGGATGGAAAAGTGGGAACATCTCTTATAAACAGAACCTGATTAAAATCAGTTCTCCTAAATGGAGTTTACTGACCCCAACCGGATTGATTGATTGATTTTTAACCTTTATTTTATCAYGAAATACATTAAGAATAACTTCTTATTTACGATGTCAGCCTGGCAGGTACCAGAGACACCCATAAGGAAAAGGTGAAGGAGGAACAAAACATCAAGCAAACAACATAACCAAGTCACATAGAGAATATATCAGATAATAATATAAGATATACAAAATAAAAACAAAACGTATAGAGTAAAAAACAGCGCAAAACGTACTCAATATCATAAAACATATGRGTAGCATTGACAGGTCAGTGATGGTAGATAAAGCTCATGTAAGGTTGATTTGAACTGACCTGTAATTTCACATCATTTTGCAAGTTATTCCATGTGGAWGGGYCTGCATAGCTAAATGCTGATGATATTATCAAAGTTATTCATTTCATTAAAAAAAACACACATTTACATACAAAATACAAAAATAAAAATAAAATGAAAAGGTTTGATGATGTAAATGTATGAAAAGCATCTGAATATTACATACAGACAGGTATGTGTAAAAGTTTATATTTGACATGTTGCATGTTTGTCAGTTACACATTTGCATGTAAATCTATTTGTCCTAAAATATGTTTTACAAATTTATAAGTGAAATYCAAACAAAATGAAAAATTGGAGACGACTGATCCTGTATATTTACTGCAAAATGGGATTATCTGCGAGATTTCATGTCAATAGACAAAGAGGATGAACACGAACTGATGATAACAGTAGACGATTGATGGATGGATATATAAGCCTCTGACTTAGAAAATAAAAACAGGTATAAAATAACCCCCTTATAATTTATGAAGAGATGTATATAAATGTTCAAATACAGAGTTTTAGTTCTAAATAATAACATGTGAGTGATGGCGGTAAGTTTTTAAATCACATTTATTACCAGAGTCTTGACAAAAGACTGTGTGCAGTGTAATTTGATCAGATCGCTGCGTCCGGAGACGTCATCGACCTATTTATGCAGGTTGTTGTAATGATATTATCATGGCGACACTGTGGCGTGAGCTCAACAGAAACTTCCCAGAGGAGGCTGAAAGAGAACTGTCAARGTCAGAAATCTGTAGCTGATGACCTGCATAGGTTCGTCAGGCGGGAAGGAAGGATGGATGGATGGATGTTCATTTTATGTCACAGCTGCAGCTCAGCCGTCATTCTCATCAATATTTTTCTGAATTAAAGCCAAAATTTCTCTTTGTTAATCAAATATCGGATATTTCTTAAATTAAATATTTTTTAATCATTATAGKTAAAAGCATAATTTAAAGTGTGTCTTTAAAATACACTCGAGGAAACTTTACAACTGAAAAAATAAATCGTCAGACCATCTTTCATTAAAATAAGCCACAAAAATCACCCTTTTTCAAGTTCCTACACCCTCAGTTTGCATTTGGATAAARGTTAAATGTTTTAAAAAGTGCTTTCGTCACAGTTTAAACAATGACCACATCCTTCTGCTCCAGTTATGCCACATCAATGCAATAAAGTTGATTTAATTCCAGCCTGAAACATTAACCAAACACTTTCTCTCTTGCTCCTTTMTCATCTGTTACATGACTCAGTAAAAAAAAACTCATCTTACTTCTTTTTTCCTTCTTCTTAAACTTGTTCTTCTTCTTGCCGTGCTCCTTGTCGTCGTCGGAGACGTAGGCGTCGGGCGGCTCGTGGTGATGTCCATCYTGAGGCGGCGAATGTTCGCGGTACAACCCGGGGAACTTGGTGGGGCTGATCTCCTCGGAGCTGGGGGTGCGGGCCACGCCGCCCGGGTGCTCCGCCCTGCGCTGCTCTGCGGGGCTGCTGCTGGGGGGCAGGAAGCACTCAGTCATGGCTCCTCCTGGCCTCAACTCCGCTCGGGCTGGAACATCACCTCTCCATCACACCTGCAGTGAGCAGAGACGTGRTGAGCTCTGACACAACACGCTGTTTTGAGTTGAGCTTAATACCGTCACTGAGGAAAACGGACACAGATGCAGCAGAACAGGTTTCACTTTGATCCACACATATTTAAACACAATTATTGTTAAATAACTATAATTATTGTTATACTTCCACTCTGTATTGTTTAGAAGTGCTTTAGGAACAAATGTATAAATGAGCAGAATAAATTAGTGTCAAACATTTGGGACAGAATTTCCTTTCAAGACTATTCTTTCAAAGGCATAATATTTAAATACAGTTTTCCTAATAATTTTTGGAAGTTTTGTTAAATAAGATGCAGATCTGTTTGTAGAAAGGTTTTTTGACCATCTTGTTGAGGCTAAAATGTAATTTTAATGTCTTCAAACCTTTTGTCTTTGGTCATTTTTATAGATTCAAAAGAAAGAATGGAAACAAAATGTGTCTTTATAACAAGTTGCTGGTAAAAGTCCCACTTAAATCTGATTATTTGCTAAGTTGAATGTTAWATGTAAACAACATTAGACAACTTGACGGGTTCAGCTGCCCTTTTACCCTTGAAGTGTCCATTAGTCAGAGRTGCACGACTTAAAACAAACAAAGAAAACACACTCCTCAGAGGAAATAGAGTATTGAGTCTTTARAGTTGACACTAGACTGGAAAGGAGTGAAAAAGCAACCAAAGACAAACTTTCATAAAACTATCGATCAAGGCAGCATGACGGTGCAGTTGGTAGAGCTCAAGATTGCATCTTGACCTGGAGTCTTTTTGGATTGAGTTTATTAACTTGTTAAYGAAGCAGAAATGTTGTAAATCAAGTGATGAAGTTACAAAAAATAGAAATAATTCATTCTCTAAATAAATTTATGTTATTTCCCCATCTTTAGCTATGATAATCTTCGTCTGTTTTTGGCTGTTCCCACTTTAGGGCTGCATCTCTCTGTCCTCTCAAACTGCATCTATAGCATACCAATACACCCACTATTAATTCTTTGGACATGTCCAAACCATCTCAGTCTTGTCTCTCTAATGTCACMTGTCACTCCCAAGGAGAACCTCAGCATCTCCAGCTCTGCCTCTTCCAGTTCATCTCCTGTATTTTTTGTTGGTAAATGCCACCGTCTCCATCTTTAGCTGTGATAAATCAATTTTATTTGACTCAATATATGCTATATATAAGTTGGATTACTGATCAGAAAAATCAGACACCACAACTAAAGCACACCATCCATGTTTCTGTGGGTTGTGACAGACTGCAGCAGTGATATCTACCCACCAGATGGGGCTTCTGTCGTTCAATCACATTCTCATCARTCTAACATCATGTCTCTTCTGTCACAAACAGCAGACAGAAACAAAACTCCCAATTCTTCTCTATCAACCGCATAAACAGTCGTGCATCTGATGAAAGCGGTAGCACCTGATCTGTGATCAGCAGGAAACAGAACCCAAAACAGGAAGTTGTTAAATTTACTTTAAAAAAAAAGCTGTAGCTAACACGTCAGTTCGTTTTAACCACTTTCTCATTGAAAGTATGGCGCAGTGCAGTAAATACAGATATAATAGATGAAGAAAACCAGTTATATAATGTTCTCTACATTGTCTTAACTTTCTGCACTAAACGATTAATAAAACAAGTCTTCTTAAGATTTCATCGCTTTTGGGTGGATCAATCCGTTTTCTACACATTTTAACAATTTTACGTGAAAATCAACTTCACATCAGCATTCATATATTATCAGACTGTCGTTAGATTATTTATGCTTGTTGTTTGAAACGATTCGTATTTAGTTTTAAGCTGTCATYAAGTCCAGCTCTCCTCTGAATGGAGCGGCCCATTATGCTAACGTTAATTCATGCTAGCTGCAAAGCTGCCCGTTACGATAAAGAATTATTTAATGCACACAAAACATACTCGATGTTTATATATTTTAACAAAGATGCTAAACTTTATTTCGACATCGCTGTGCTGTTGTTGAACGAGCAATACGTCAAAGGAAAGAAACTTTACCAAGTCCTGCTCGGTCAATTCCTCAGCGGAGCTTCCGGTTGTGAGTACACACCAAATAAACCCATTTGCGCCTGCGCAAGTACCCGAGTGCATTATGGGAAATGTAGTTAAATGAATCTTTATTGATCCAAAGATAGTTTTTGATAACATCATCCGTGGTAAAACGATTTTTGTTAATGTTTTTAAAAATATGACACTTCTGTTTATTCCTGAGGTCATAGTTGTTGTTGGTGATGACATAAAATGAATTAAATTTAGCATTCATCATTTTCATCCAACTGCTTACATGGGGGAGAAACTGTCAAACAGTGTTTTTTGYAACAGCAGTAGAAAATCTAAATTTGCTAAAACCACTTGCTATTTTRGAATCGTGTACTTTTCCCAAAACGCTGCGGCTGGACTCGGCGCTGATGGTCAACCCAACATGCGAAACAAATTAGTCCTCTGATGATCCATGTTGGCACCGTCTGCACCAAACCACAGCTGCAGTGGCGAAATGAGGTCGGGATACAACACACACACACACACACACGCTCACACAAAAAATAGACAAACAAGGTCTCATTGTGCGCCTGCAAGACGAGTCTGTCCAAACTGCTGTTGCATGCCAATTGGGAACATAATCAGTGATAGGGCGCCCTGCTGCTTTTTGGGAAAACGTGCTGGCACCACAAAGAGCGTTTGTGTGTGGCGATGAGAGATTGGCACCATTCGGTGTTTTCCTCTTGGCCTGCAAGGGACGGTCACTGAGAGCTGAACACCTGTGGACCAGAATGGAATAATGACAACTTTGTTTTCCCAGGAAATGATGCYTTTCCTGACTCGTGAAACATTATGATTATAGTCGCAGAAAGGAAAACTGAGGTGGAAACAACTTTTTTGAAATTTAGGCCACTCTTTTTACTATTCATCTTTCACAAAACAAAGTTCAAAACTGAAATTTCTTGACAAAATTCACATTATGCTCTGCTTTTCAACCCTGCTATATCTGTTAGCACTCAAAGTATYAGATGGGTATGACTCTCAGCTACTACCACACCAAATTTCACCATCTTATCTGTAAAATTGACTGAGTTGTGATTATTTTTGTYTTTGCTAAGGTTGATGAGCGGCAGCCATCTTGAATGGGGCGGGTGTCATGAGATATTTTGCTAACAGGATGAWCGAAAAGAAAGAGAACAGTATACCAAATATTTTCTTTATTTGGCACAAGACTGAGATTTAGCAGAATATAAATGCAAAAATACATTACTCATATACATTTCTAGTAAAAAAAAACCCCACACACTATTGAATCATGTCTTAAAATATACAGTGGAACGGCAGAGTAAAAACATTTTGTAAGGGGTTAGATTTAGAGGAATGCTAACATACGACAGTCATGTGTGCCTCTGCCCTCAGTCCTCCGGTTCAGCCCAGACATTTGGTACCAACATGTCGCCGCTGCACCACCGCCTTTCAAAACAAACAGTTCAGACACTTCACAGCCTTGCTGCCATAGTCCACGCACTCYGGCCCGATGCACTGGCAGCAGGCGTTGTGAAACCAGCGGTACTTTGATCCTCCCATTGACTCACAGTAGAGCTTACACTGACGGATGGACACGCAGTCGTCGAAGTAGACCACCGTGCACATGTTTTCTGGGGGGGATAAAGCACGCGACATGAGTCACAGATCCAGTAAATCGGTTTTATAGAAACAGGTATTTATATTTAAAACCCTCAGCGGTTCCACTTTTACTTATTTTGGTGGGTTGTAATGAGTTAACTGCTCAGCTTTGTGGGAATGTTACTTTATGCTGAGCAGTTTGAATTATAGAGTCAAAACAACCTCAAATGGGAAAAAAAATAATAAAACGAGCAGCAGGACATTTTCATCCCAGATATTTATTCCTTTAAATAGAAACTGTTTGGCAGCGCCGGCCAAGTCAGAGTTCATAAATCCAGATGACAAAACCTGTAACGACTGGAAAAACCTATGTGAAGGCATGACTCGTTTGTAAAGTATGCCGTGTTGATTCACTTATTCAGAAGCTTTATTATTACAGTGGCAGTGCTAACAAAAAAAACCCAAATAAATAAAAAACGTTAATGAGCTCAAACACAAGCCCTGAACACATTTTTTCCCCCTCTGCAGATGTCCCGACTTTGAATTTTTGGACTATTTTTCTCAATAAAGTCGAGTTGTTCTTTCAAGTAAACTTTCAAAATAAAAGCGAGAACCGATTTATTTCACTTGTATCTGTGTTAGGAGAAAAATAAGCTTTAATCTTTTAGAATTAAATTTTTTTGAGCAATATGAAAAAACAACAATGGATGCCAAAACAAGCCTAGAAATAAACCTCAGTTTTGGAAATGTATCCCATCTGTGGGACACGGTGGTGAAAGTATCATAATTTACTACAAAGTGTTTGCTCTCAGGTTGTCTTGTGAGTGAATCTCAACTACTACCACATGAAATTCTAGCTAAATATCTGTAAAACTGACATTTGTAAAAAAAAAAAAAATGGCTGACTTACAGCCATTTTTTAAGTTGGCTAATGTCAGTTAGCYTTAGCATCCATCATGAAATGGGATGACTCTAAATGTTGAACAATTTAGTGCTTATAATGTGTGTTGGGGATGAGTCTCAGCTACTAGCATGTCATAATTTCCAGATTTAACCATTTGTTTTTGTGTTTTTTTTAAGTCATATGGTTGTGGCAGCCATCTTGAATTGGTCTGGTCTACAAAAACAGATGTGGACTATTGTTTCTTTTAACAGTTTTCTCTACTTTTAGGACTCCACGGTAAAAAAGTGAATGCTTTTAAGAATGTTCAGCATATTTTTGGAGGAGCAGAACTTCCTGTTTTGTGACATCATCACTAATATTTTGACATAAGACCAAAGACACAAAGGAGACCCGTTTCCAGGTGGTACCTTGATTGTCGTAGCTGGTGTGGATGCTGTTGCCGGGCACCGACACGTTCTGGTGCTGGCTGTCGAGCGACTCCAGGAAGGACACCAGGTTCTCGTGGTGCGAGAGCTCCTCGGACACGGGGAAGGACACCACCATCATGTTGATGGGCGCCTCGCCCTCCGTCAGGGCGCGGAACAGCGAGGGGATGGGGTGGTGCAGCTCCTCCACCGTGCTCTTCGACGTGGCGGGGGAGTCGCTGTAGTTCTTGGGGTTGCACATCCCTGACGGGAGAGGAAATAAAAAGATGGACGAGGAAGTTAAACTGGGGCAGTTTGTGAAAAAAAAAACCCACAGCGCTGTCAAAAAGCTTGTCTTAATTAAGTTTTTTTTAACACTTCATTTCATCCCCACATACAGTAGTAATCACTTGGCAAAAAGGCCCCAAGTCGTCGGATATAATCCTCCTGACCTTTTTTTAATGAGTTGAAGTGATTTACGACGAGCGAGTAAATCGCCTAATGGGGGAGCGGACTTTAACAAGGAATTTGGATCACAAACCGATGCTAAAAGCAGAGCCGGAGCAGCTGTTTTAGATAAAACTAACTCACGGCTGCTCCATCCCTCGCTCCCTTTAAAAAAAATCCAAACTCTCCTTTAACCGCTCACAGACACACTTCAAAGCAGGCGYCGTTCGGCCCAGAAAACATGTCCTAAGTGGAAACTTAAGCTGGCGTGGAGGGGAAAAGAAGAACAAATGAAGACATAAAGTTGCTCAAAGCAAAGTGCAAGGAGGAGGAAAACACAGAGTCAACATCTGGGCAGCAGAACAGCYGAGAGTGCGCAGATTCCTGTTCTGGTGTTCCACATGAAAGCACTTTAATAAAACCTCCTTGTCAACAAGTAGAATCATTTCTGTCTGTCAAAGCAGACCTGAGACTCTCTGCTGAGCACGTGTCCCACCCCGAGTCAGAGCCGCCGGAGCCCTGAACACATGTCACATGTTCCTGCAGGTCAATCATGAGGTCATGTTCTGAGCATCCATCCATCAGTCCATCCATCCATCATTCCATCCATCAGACCATCCATCCATCCATCAGTCATCCATCCATCCATCAGTCCATCCATCCATCAGTCCATCCATCCATCCATCCATCCATCCATCAGTCCATCCATCCATCCATCCATCAGTCCATCCATCCATCCATCCATCAGTCCATCCATCCATCCATCCATCCATCCATCAGTCCATCTATCCATCCATCCATCCATCCATCCATCATTCCATCCATCCATCAGTCCATCCATCCGTCCATCAGTCCATCCATCTGTCCATCCATCCATCCATCCATCTGTACATCCATTCATCCATCCATCCATCAGTACATCCACCGGTCCATCCATCCACCGGTCCATCCATCCATCCATCTGTCCATCCATCCATTCATTCATTCATTCATTCATTCATCCATCCATCCATCAGTCCATCCACCCATCCATCCATTCATCCATCCATCCATCAGTCCATCCACCCATCCATCCACCGGTCCATCCATCCATCCATCTGTCCATCCATCCATCTGTCCATCCATTCATCCATCCATCCGTCCATCCATCCGTCTGACCATCCACCCATCCATCCACCGGTCCATCCATCCATCCGTCCATCCATCCATCAGTCCATCCATCAGTCCATTAGTCCATCCAGCAATCCATCCATCATCCATCCATCAGTCCATCCATCAGTCCATCCAAGCAAGAGACAATGTCTGTATCCAAATTCAGGGGCTGCATCCTTCGAAGGCCCAATACGTCACAGCGATGCACTGAAGGCTGTCTAAATTCCAAAGCTCCTTCAATTGTGGCCCATAAATGTGTCCTCTTTGTCCCCTGATGTGTAGGACGGGTCGGGTCCCGTGTATTCTTCTCATTTTGCCTATCCCGGTTGTGTTGTTGGGCTTTTGACATTTGCATAGAAACCTTTTTGATATTATTCTTCTTAAATGACTTCATATGGCAGGTCCCTTAGTTCTTCATGTATTGCCTTCAAGCTCATTTTGTTAATTCATAACATTAATAATATTAAGATGTTATTATTTTAATAATTTTGATCTTCATTGCTTCTGTTTAGTGCTGCCCCGATTGCTAGGTGACAGGACGTACACAGGGGAAAGGGCAGGAATAAATCTAAAGGCTAGACCATCCAAAGTCACAGCCACTTTCTTCAGGTCTTCGTGGTTGACAAAGGACCCAGACCATGTAGACCAGGTCCTTCAAAGGACACAGTCCCTGAATTTAGACACAGTCAGAGTCTCTCAAGCGTGTCTTGGGTCTTCCTCGGMGTCTCCTCTCAGTCGGACATGCCTAAAGCACCTTCCTAGGGTGGCATCCAGGAGTCATCCTCACCAGATGAACCACCTCAACTGGTTCCTCTGGATGTGGAGGAACAGCTCTAGTCTGAGTTTTTCCTGGAGAACTGAACCTCTCAACTCTAAAATAGTCCAGCTGCCCTGCAGAGAAAACTAATTTCGACCACTTGTATCTGCGATCTCATTCTTTTGGTCACTACCAAAAGTTTGTGACCATAGATGAGMAGTAATAATGRAGATGAACCAGCTCCCAGCTCAGCTCCTTCTTCACCACAACAGACCAGTACAAAGTTTGCACCGATTTGTTTGACAATCTCACAACCAGTTTTTAAAAACTGCACTGCTTGCAAAATTGTACTCCCAGTGGTGCACATTATTTTGTTCATATCCACCAAACGTAGCCGCCCCTCAACATTTATGATTCAATCTACCGGACCACATTTTTAAAACGAATGTTTCATCGATGTTCTTAGACCTGGARGATCAGGGCTGTTAGCCTCTGATGGCTTCTATCACAGGAGAGATTTGTGCGGGTTTACAGAAATTTAACTGCCTCCTAAACCCCCAACAGTCTCAGCCCTGTGAGATACGCGCAATAACAAGTAAAAAAAATTGCAAAAACAGAATTGCATTTTGTTAAGATGCATCAACTTTCTGAATTTTCCAATTTCTCAGTGAACTGTTTTATCTATTATTCAAAAAAAAAAGGTGGGGGGGGGTCCAAATAAAAGGCCAAGGGGWACACCTGAAAGTAGAAACTGGACCTAAACTCCAGTAGATTATTATTATTTTTCTTTTCCACTGAAGCAGCGCTTCTTAAAGTTCCGAACGGGACCCCATGTGGGTCAGGAAACATCGAGTCTCTAATGTCCAGATTTCACCTAAGATTGCATCTGGAACATTCTGATRGTAATTGTTATAGAGTCCAGCTCACCCACGCAGTCGCAGCACTCCTCCCAGAGGTTTCCCAGACACAACATGCAYTCTTTACAGCAGGAACAGTTCCCATCAGACGGGCGACACTGGCACAGCTCCTGCAGAAAACACACAATACCATTAAACAGAAGCTGTGGAGAAATCTGCAACACGTTCATCAGCCAGAGAGAGAAAACACAGCTGAAACAGCTATATTTTTAAACCCTCAGATGTTTTTGACTCTTCTTTTTGTCCAATAATTTAAATGCACTTTTAGCAAATATTTTTAGGCTAACTTTATTCACTTTTTTGTTTGTTTAAATGAACCAAATGTTTATTAAAGTTAAATAAGACCTAAAAATCATCTGTCGGCCGTCCTGCTCTCAGCCGTATCAGTCCACCTCTAATTTTCAGAGTTAAACATCACGCAGCAGCACACTAAAGACAACATGTAGACAAGCTGTTCAAACAAGAAACATGACATTAAATCAGGTTTCCAGTACAGGACGGAGCCTCTGAGAGCTCCATGAGGCGTGAAACGAGTCCGTGGAGGAATGTGAGAGGTCCGCAAAGACGTAGATAACGCAAAAAAAAAAAAAGTTTCCATCTAAGAAAGAAGCAAGTCCTGACACGTTGCCAGCGCTAAAATTATTCTCTTTTATAGCAACTGTGGAGAAAARGAGGGTCTGAATGTCAAATAACTTTTTTCTTCTGATTTCTGTTGACGTTAAAACATTTTAGGTAGAAAAAAATAGTTTTAAAGTTCAACATGACAAGAAATATGCAAAATGTTTTCCCACATCTCATTAAATCTGTAATTTCTGATTTAATTATGTTATTAAAACAGTTGGACCAGAATAGGGATACATAAGTATAATTTAGTCACCAATTTAGTCATGCATGTTTTTGATCAGTGAGGAGAAACCAAAGTTCCTGGAGAAAACCCACATGTGCACAGGAACCACCTAGGATTAACACCAAAAATAGAGTTGCAAACTCTGAAATTGTTGCCAGTTCTCAAAATAGCCACTTTCTTTGTTTTGAAACTAGTGATGTGTGGATGGATATTGAAATATRGATACTACAGATACCAAATCTTTAAAGTGTATCTTACCCCCCCTGTGAAAAGGTAACTCCGCCCCAAGGCGAAATTTGAAAAATGCATCAAAGTGGGTAGGTGGGGGGGGTTAGAGAGCGGAGGTGTGGCCAGGACGAGAGAAAGCGACAGCTAGCATTAGCATAACTGATGCTACATGGAGAGTGACCACAGTATCGCAGATAGTTACATCTCTGAACAGTCTGAGGTGGACGATTTTCACCCCACACCAGCACCAGACAGAGGAGGAGGAGCGCTCCGACAGCCTGACATAAAAAAATAAAAGCATACAGCTGCAGCTGCTCAAAAGATCGCTAGTTTAAATCAGAATAAAAGTGTTGGGTCTTGTTTGACTGAAGTTCGGTCCGGTTCGCATATATTTCAACCTCTTTGGATGTTTACCTGTATAAAGAGCCCTAAAAATCCATAAATTTTGCAAAAAAGTCCATACAATTCACACCCGCGGGGGGGGGGGTTCAGCTGCGGACATGAAAGCGCCTGCTGCGAAGCATGAGGAAAGGAGAGGAAAAAGTAACTTATTACTAGCGGCAGAACAGGTTGGAAGATGGCTGTTTGATGTTATTTATTGTTTATTTAAATCATCCTATAGGCTCTGACAAGTTAGATGAATTTGAAAATGAGGTCTTTAAAATATCTGTAAGACTTGAAAAAATC